CGAAGGTGTTGAATTTTTATGTCGTGGTATAATGTCATACAGCTTATTGTTCCATCTAATTCGATACTCATCGCCAACACGTAAAGGACCATAGATCTTTCGAAGAATTTTTATCTCGAATGCTCCTAACGCTTTCTCATCACTGTTGGATCTTTCGAAGAATTTTTATCTCGAATGCTCTTAACGCTTTCTCATCACTGTTGGTAATTGTCCAAACTTCTGTACCAATACAGCAGGACAGGCATGATAAAAGATTTGTAAAGTGGGTTTTTTGTTTGCCGTGAGGGCTTTATTTCTTAATTGCCTATCTTGAATTGCATTTTAAAGTTGAAATCCAATTCACTATTTAAATTTCGCAGGCATGCCTAATTAAGATCATACTTTCGTAAAAGCAGCTATATTGAATAATGTTTTTCACTGTGCTATACAGTAATCCCGCTATAACGCGGTAGATTGGTTCCGCGTTATAGGGGTATTCCCGTATATCCCGTATACACACGTGCAAAGGTACGTAAAGCTAATTATGAACTGTAAAAATCCGTTATATAATATGAGAAAATGCCCGTGTTATACGGGGTTTGAAATCGCGTTTTTTGGGGGGATTACTGTATATGAATTTAGCTTAGTTTTCGAGATATGAGGGTTTAATCAATGTTAGAGTTTTTACATGAAATCTACCAACAGGTAGACGCGACATTTGTATAATCAGAGTAAAAATTTAATATACTATTTAGCGCCATCTAGCGTAGGGTATGGATCTTGTTAGTGTTTAACGCTCGATATCCCAAGAAGTAATCTATATTACCATAAATAATATTGGGGAAAAGTTGCTAACAAAAGCTAATTTTACTAAAATCCATTCAAATCGTTGGATTTTGCATTCGATATTCGATTCGATATTATTCGTAGCGATATTCAATATTATTAATACCATAAAAACACTAGAATTCTCAATTCGTTTTTATTGTGACAATTTTTATTTATTTAATTGATATAAAAGAAACCACATTCGTCACGCCTAATTTAAATATAATTAATGTTTATTAAATTTGAAGTGCAAGTGTTTATTGAAAATAAAATGCATTGCAAGAGCCGGAAATGTGTCCACGCATCTGAACTTAATTATAAGCTACGCACGCGTGACTTGATTGCGTGAAGTAAGTCAACATTCACGCACTTAGCAGTTGTCTAGCATGCTAAGTGAATGAATTAAATTTTCCCATTAAAGTGTGAGAACTAATTAGATACGTCTATTAAATGTGTCTGAACTTATAGTAAATATTGTTTACTCGTACTTTTATGAGATAATTTCCGTATATGGAACAACAAATTATTATATAATAATAAAGTAAGTCTTTACTTAAGCGCGCATATTGACTTCGTACTAAGAAAAGTTTACACAAATGCTTTTTATTTGTATATCTGTGTTGTGGATAAATAAGATATAATAGAACATTCTATTATACATTGTTTTGTAAATACAATATATTTATAAAATTGATCTTACTTTTTATACAGTTGACTATTGCTTTGTTATAGTTATTATAATCCGTATATAACGTTGGGTAAATTTCCAGATATAAAATTACCTATATGTAAATGATTAAACACCAATTAATATATTACAAATAATTATATTGTTTAATAGATATGCTATGAGATATTATAAGATTTATTTGGAATTAAATATGGCGAAAAATGACAAATAAAAGCGAACCATTCAACTTAGAAAGATGTGGAACTATATACATATACCTCTACAAAACTTTGCATATTTAATGCTAAAATGAAGGCAGTTAGTTCTATTTTATGGAATTGAAAACTGGAACCATATTACTGCAATCCGAAATTCAGATCTTTATAAAGTAATGTTAAGTAATGTTAACGAAAAATCTTGCGCATTTGGTGGCTCCAAAAATTATCAATCTGTGGGTTCGAAGAACAGAAGAAATTCAGAAACGTAAATGATAAAAGTCGATTTGCAATTTTATAGTTAAACTTAGAGAATGGTATATGACAAAATGCCTTGTAGAAATTTTTAAGTATTAATATGGTATAATATGATGTATATAATATATATATAATATAATACATATATAATATAATATATATATAATATAATATATATATAATATAATATATATATAATATAATATATATATAATATAATATATATATAATATAAAATAAATATATTATATTATATAATATAATATAATATATATATAATATAAAATAAATATATTATATTATATAATATAATATATGTATAATATATAGGTATAACACTTCGTTCAATAATGTGTGTGACTGACACATAGATGGCGGCACTAATACTAAATAAATATTTTTTTTCGAAAATGACAACCCTTTTAGGCTTACTGTCAAAATCATATGTTAATCTGACCATTTGTTTACAAGTTACAGTGCTTTAAGTGACGCTACTTTTGAGTTTTCAAAGAAAAATGAATTCAAAACAATTCCGTGTGCTGATTTGTCATTGTTTTTTAATGAAAAAAAATACTGTTCAATGCCAGGAATTTCTTGAAAAACTTTATTCGGACTCTGCTCCATCAAAAAGAAGCATTTGTTATTGGTATGCCGAATTCAAACGTGGTCGTACAGACACCGATGACATTCCATCTACTGGACGACGAATAAATGACGCTGTTATTCCGGAAAACGTTGAAAAAACACTGAAAATCATTATGCCCGACCGTAAAGTGAAAGTGAGGGAGATTGCTGACATTCTACAGATATCTGCAGGCAGTGTACACACCATAATACACGAACATTTGGGTATGAAAAAGGTGTTTTCCAAATGGGTGCCGCGTTTGCTCACACCGGAGCAAAAACAACAACGAATCGATGATTCAAAGAGCTGTTTGGACATGTTTACGCACAATAAGTCGGAGTTTTTGCATCGGTACGTCACGATGGATGAAACATGGATTCACCATTTCACTCCAGAGTCAAATCGGCAGTCTGCTGAGTGACATGCAGCCGGTGAAAGCCGCCCAAAGCGACCAAAGACGCAGCAGTTGGCTGGCGAGGTTATGGCGTCTGTATCTTGGGATGCGCATGGAATAATATTCATCGACTATCTCCAGAAGGGGAAGACCATCAACAGCGACTATTATATAGCATTATTGGAGCGTTTGAAAGACGAAATCGTAAAGAAACGGCCTCATATGGCGAAGAAAACAGTTTTGTTCCACCAAGACAATCCACCGTGTCACAAGTCGATGAAAACGATGGCAAAATTGAACGAATTGAGCTACGAATTGCTGCCGCACCCAACGTATTCTCCAGATCTGGCCCCCAGCGACTACTGGCTCTTCGCAGACCTCAAAAAGATGCTCCTTGGTAAGAGATTTGGCTCAAATGATGAAGTAATCGCCGAAACTAACGCCTATTTTGAAGGCAAAGAAAAATCGTTTTACAAAGGCGGTATCGAAAGATTGCAAAAGCGTTGGAATGATTGTATCTCCCTAAAAGGGGACTATGTTGGTGAATAAAAACGAATTTTGGCAAAAAAATGTGTTTTAATTAGTTAGTCCACACATTATTGAACGAAGTGTTATAATATAAGAAGGATACTCATCTAAACATATAAACTTATTAACTGTATAATTTTATGCGTTTACGTATATCAGGGCTGTCCAGACCAGATACCATCACGGGCCAATACAAATCACTGTACACATTGAAGGGCTGCCGAAACAAATACATACGTTCATAGTTGTTTTCGACAAAAACAAAAATACGGTTAAAATTTTAAATTTAGTTTTAATAATTTATCAAAATTTATCAAAAAATCAAATAATATAGTCAAATAATATTTGACTATATAATAATATAAAATTTGCGTAATTGTGGTACATTAAAAATCTGTCGCGAGCCACACAAGCATTACCTGCTGGCCGTGCTTTGGACAGCCCTGATGTACATATATGATTATATGAACGGTATTAGTGAAATATTTCTGAAAAATTTAACAATCTGATGTATGATAGCACTATTTATATCAGCAATTATTATAACAGCACAAAATGCAATGCTCAGCAACGCAGTTTTTTTCAACCAAAAGTATGGCCCCATTTTGACAATATAAAAAGTTATTTTAAACTTTAAAATTATAAAATAAAATGGGAAATTAAGTAAAAAATTTAAACTAAAAATAATTACAAAAACATTTTTGTGAACTAATATTTTTTGATATAAATTCATATTATTTTCAAAGCACTGAACACTAAGTAGTTCAAAATCAGTTCAACCTCAATCACTATTCCATACTTTTGTTTGGTATAATACAACAATCATTAAAAACACCATTAAAAACACCAATCATTACTCTTAAAACTCTAGGAAATAGCTTAAAACAACTTTCATTACAATCTCATCAGTATTCCACAATGTATAGACTATAAACAAATATTTTCATATTAATTGAAAACAAAACGAAGCATATAGATTAGGGTTTAACAACTATTTGTCTCATTAGCACTATCGGCTCTTAAAGTATTTTCGCATTTAACGATATTATTTTTGGGAAAGATAGAGTCGAACGATTCAAAACACATTGAACATTTTACCGGTCCTTGTAAAATACATTGAAACGTTTTCCAGCCCGTAGTAGACGTGTTGTTTAAGAAACACTACTATGGTAACAGCTACAGAGAAAGAACGCAAGAAAGTAGGTTAAATGATCTTAAAACCTTGTAACATTAAATATATCTATAAAGCACTTCTTCAAAGACATTGCCTATATTAGTACATATAATCATTGATATATAACGCTTAATTCGAATAATGGCTAGGATTTCTACATGCAGTTTTAAACTAATAGACTATACATAAACAATGAACTAATAGCTCTCGTAAAATTTGTTATGAAATTCATTGTAATTAAAAATTTAAATAAATTCTAAATATTGAATTGAAATATAATTAAAATCATTTAATAATTATTTTTATATATATATTTTTATTGTTTTCAGTTATATTGCTGGACGTTTTAAAATTATATCAAATGCTGAAACGAAAGGTCTTAGTACCTTTGTGGGCACATTTGCGTTACCATCTTTAATATTTCTCTCATTAGTGGAGTTAAATTGGAATACAGTGAATTGGCAATTTTTACTGGCCATGCTTATCTCGAAATCCGTTGTTTTCTTTGCGGTGTTAATTATTTCATTACTTATTGTGAGACCATTGAACTATGCACGTGCTGGACTTTTGGGTATATTTTGTACACAGAGTAATGATTTTGCTATCGGTTATCCAATAGGTAAAATTTTAATTGAATTATTTCAAAAGCATATTTTTTAAAAATTTTTATATTCTTTAGTTATGGCTTTATATGAGAATATACATCCAGAATACGCATCATACTTGTATTTGATGGCGCCAATATCATTGGCTATACTAAATCCAATTGGTTTGGTATTGATGGAGATCTCAAAAATGTCAAATACTAAAAATGAACTAGTAAGTATATTTACTCGTATTTATATAAATACATATATGTAAATTCTTTAATAAGTTTACGGAATCAAAATAAATTTATATATATAATCCCCTTTAAAGTATCTACGCCAACGACTCTACGATATATGAATTTTTTCTCCTCAATAGTATGCTTAAAATTTTTTTTTACGAAGGAAGTAATAAGGAAACGTAATAATTTGATGTTGTTCTAAACCATTGAGACCAATATAGTGGGAGACATGAGAGGAATATATATTATATAAGTTAATAAAAATAAAAGGCAAAAACGTGACTCTTTGTCAGTAGCGAAAGTATAAGTCGATCACTTGTACGCTTATAAAGTTAAGGGCTATGAAGGCCAAATGGGATTTTTTCTGACAAACCCGTTGATGTCCCGTAGCAATCAGACGATCAAATAATATCGCATGATTATGCCATTAATGAAACTTATCGCAGGGACCGGATTTGAGAGGCCGCAAATATTAACTTTTATGTTATATTGTATACGTGTATAATATTGCATATGCATACAAATAGAAAGGATAGGTGTTTGGGTCAAGTATGGTATAAGAATAGATATGGGAATAGATGTTTGGGTGGTATAGGAAGCTGTGTCAAACTCTTCGTGAGATTGAGGTTTATCAATGCACTGCACGCACAAGGTCGACTTCGGTTGAGACCATTGAGTATTTTTGCAGAAACCAATTTAATGGGAAGCAAACCCGATGCGATCTTTATTTCAGAATCAATGATGTCAAAAGTTTGACAACAATATTTTTTTTTTTTTTTTCAATTCATACGTTATTTATTGAATCTTTCAATTTGGAAACTAACAATAAGTGATCAAATCTTAAAACTAAATTTATTTTTTTTTCCTAAGCCATTGATTTGGAAAAAATTATTAAGACATTAATTTATTTAATAAAATAAGATTGAAAATTAATATTAAAATTAAAATTGAGATTAAAATTAATTCAAGAAATCACATTCAGTTCAATTAAAGAAAATTTATAATATTTTAAATGAAATAAAAATTTTGAAGGTTAACAGATGTTAATGGTGTCCTTCTTTTTTAGACGTCTGTGGCCTTTGTTCAGTAGCAGCATGTAAGCTAATTGGTTAGGATGGTCTTCTAACTTTAAGAGATGCTGACGGCTACATCGAGCAGCTTCTTCTATTACTGTTGGCACGCTCAAATCTCTATGAAGGTTAGCATTTTTCAGAAACCACGGTGCACCTGTTATCATTCTTAGGGTTTTAGATTGCAGCCTTTGCAATTTTTCAATATTTGATGGCATCGCTGTTCCCCACAGTTGAATTCCGTAACTCCATATTGGTTTTATTATCGACTTGTATAGCAAAATTTTGTATTCAAGTGGTAGCTTAGATGACGTGCCCATAAGCCAATGCAATGAACTTAATTTTATATTTATTTGTGTCTTTTTAGCCTCTATGTGTTTGTTCCAAGTTAAACGTCTGTCTAGATGTATCCCTAAATATTTTACATTGTCGCTTGAAGGTACTTTTTGCTCATTTATTGTAATATTGGGACAGTTTCCTGGTCTTAGAGCAAATGTTACATGGGTACATTTTTGTTCATTGACTTTGATACGCCATACTGATAACCATTTCTCAAGTTGGTGAACATGTTCTTGAAGCATGCGTTGTGCGATTGCGGGGTTTTTGTGTGCACTTAGTATTGCTGTATCGTCAGCAAATGTTGCAGTTAATGTGTTTTCCGAAGTTGGCATATCACTTGTATACAGCAGATATAATAGCGGACCTATTACACTTCCTTGTGGAACTCCAGCTTTGATAGGACAGGGTTCTGAAACAAAATCTTTATATTTTAAAATAAAAGTTCTTCTGCTTAAGTAGTTTTTTAACAAAAGGTGAGTGTTAACTGGCATGAGAGTTGTAATTTTATGTATTAAGCCTTCGTGCCATACTTTATCAAACGCTTGGGCTACATCTATAAATATGGAAGTGCAGTATTGTTTATTTTCAAATGAGTTTCTTACGAATGATACAATACGATGCACTTGTTCAGTTGTACTGTGTTTAGCTCTGAAGCCGAATTGATGCTCCGGAATTATTTCGTTAGCTGAGAGTATTGGCATTATTTTTGTTATTAGTAGCTTTTCAAATATTTTTGATAATATTGGAAGGACGCTAATTGGTCTGTAGGATTCTACTTTGGTTTTGTCCTTTCCAGGTTTAGGTATCATTGTTATTTGTGACATTTTCCAAAGTTTGGGATAATATCCTGTCCGTAAGATAGCGTTAAATAAATGCCTGAGATGTATAATGGCACATTGTGGTAATTGTTTCACCATTGTAACTGAGATTTTATCAGGTCCTGCTGCCTTTTTCGCATTGAGATCTTTTATAATTTTATTGATATTTTCTAGTTTAAAAATAAGGGGCCTGCTCGAAGGATATAGGTTTGTAATTGGTAAAGAAGTATTTTGTGAAGCATTATTTGGAGTAAATACATTTTTCAAGTGTTTTACAAATATTTCCCCTTTCTCTGAGTCACTTCGTGCCCAGTCACCATTTTCTAGTCTGAGAGGAGATTCATGCTGGATAGGCTGTTTGAGGTACTTTGTTGCCTTCCAAAGTGAATAATCCGTTTGTTCATTAGGTGCCAAATTGAATAGAAAATTGTCTAGGGATTTTTGATGTCTTTCCGCTAGTGCATATTTGAGTTCATTTGTACATTTAGCTAGTAAAACTTTATGTTTTGGGGATCTATGCCGTTGCCATAGTCTTCTAGCGTTTCTCTTTCGTTGTAATAATCCCTCTATTGTTTTTGTCACACCGATTTTTTTGGGTTCTTTTTTTTCAATTCTTATAGAAGCTACTTCAACACCCATTGAGATTACTTCAGAAAATTGGTTAACACAAGCATCAATTTCATTATTCACCTTTAACGAAGCATGTTGAGGTATATGACAAGAAACATATTTACGAAATTATAACCAGTTTATATGTTTTGTTAGACATTGCGTTTGGATAGTTCTATTCTGTTGACTTTGCATTGTTATTATTGTTGGTGAGTGGTCTGATGACAGTTCAACTAATGGAAATGCGGTGATTGTTGATGGTTTAATATTTTTGCTTAGACCAAAGTCGATAAGATCTGGGACTTTTTGTCGATCAGAAGGCCAGTATGTTGGGTGTCCAGTTGAAATCACATTGAGATCTTCACTTTTCATAACTGCTAGAAGTTTCCGTCCTCTTGGCGTTATTAGCCTTGAACCCCAGAATGTGTGCTTCGCATTAAAATCGCCTGCGACCAGAAATTTAGAACCGAGTGTTTTAAAAAAGTTTTGGAAGTCTTGGACTTCTATATTGTGATTGGGTGGACAATATATTGCAGCTATTACGATATTTTCTCCATATTCATCAAATCGGATAGCTGTCGATTGTAGATAATCTTTGCTGAAGTCTTCTAAAACAAAATGTTTAAGTCTTTTTTTTATTATAATACCAGTACCTCCTCGAGCCATTCCTTTGGGATGCTTGGTGTCATAAAAGCAGTAATTTGGAATTTTGAAAGCGTTTTTTTGAGTAAGATGTGTTTCGGACACAAGCATAATATCAATTGCATTACTAATTAAAAAATATTCAATTTCAAGTTTGTGGTTGTTTATACCGTTTGCATTCCAGTGACATATTCTAATGGAGTTGCTCATTTTTTCATTATTAGAGTTTGCATTAGAGCAGTTTGATTTTTTATAAGTTCTTGCATCATACTTTGCATACTATACATAAAAAGATTAAGACTTTGGATCAGTGTTTTTAGCGTCTCTTCTAAATTATCTACTGCTGGTATTGCCAATTGTTGAGGTTGAATATTTTCTCTTAATACATTTGCATAACTTTTGCCTTGAGAGATTGTTGCTTCTGTATTGTTTATTTGTTCTTGGTAGTAATTTTTGGGTGGCACAGCGTTTAATTGATTTTTGGGAAGAGTTCTCTGCTTAACTGCAACAAATACGGTACAACCCCTATAATTTGCAGTATGATTTTTGCCGCAATTACTGCATTTTTTTGCATTTGCATCTTCTTTAGGTTTTGGACATATGGAGGATTTGTGTAGATCTCCACATATTACACATACACTAGGTAAGGTGCAATAGGTTCGAGTATGGCCAAATTCTTGACAGTTAGTACACTGTATTGGATCTTTTCTTTTGAAAGGCTCTTCTACTGTTATCCTTCGATGTAAAAGATAACGAAGATTGTAAATTGGGTGCACTTCTCCTTTAGCGAGTTTTTTTGCGTTTGGCTCAAGTTCTACTTTAAATATTGGCTGAGGTGTTTTATTTTTGTTTTTAATATTAAAGATGGACTTTGCTTCAAATCCGGCTTCTGCTAAGGCTGCTTTTATATCAGCTTCCGGTACGAAGTGTTCTATACCTTTTATTACCACACTTAAACCTTTGCTACTTTTTAGCTGGTAGGTGTAGTAGCTTTTATTATTGGCATCAAAGAAGTTTATAATTTTTCTATAATTTAATTCATCATTTATTTGGATTTTTGTTTCATTAACATTTCCCTTCAAGAGTGGAATCACGTAGAAATGTTTATCACCTATTATGGATGTTATCTTCTTTAAAAGATCGTTCGAATTTTTTTCCCTTAGATAAATTGGAGGTGGTTTGTATTTTTTGGTATTATTTTCTGTATTCTCATTATTTTCATCAGTTGATAAGATTTGAAATCTATTTTTATTTAAGGAGGCGCCGTTTTCAACTAATTTTGTTAGTTTTGAAATTTGACTAGATGATTTTGTCATGGGGCTGCGTTTCCGCTTTGTTACAAGAATATATCTATCTATTCCTGTCTGAATTTTATTGCCGTTGTCTTGTTTGGCAGCATTTTGAATATTATTTTTATCTTCAATGCTGATAGACTCATGTTCGTTATGTTTTGTTGTGCAATTTAGCAACTTTTGCATACAAACATTTTTCTGCAACGTTTTTTCTGATACATGTTTATCATCGCTGTTTTGATGTGCAACAATTGTTGATGGAGAATTTGGCAGTGAAGATCCACATTCAGCACTCCAAGAAAAAGTTTTTGACTGCGCATGCGCTGTGAGAAGATCACTTTTGCGTGCAGAAGAAGACGGCAATAAATTAGTAAATTTATTTGTTTGCATACTTACTCCCTCAATAACTTGTTTAGTTTCGCGCTCAGGGGGAGAACGCTGAACACTCATTTTAGACCTTTTCTATTTGGCGCAATCTGTTGTTGTTTAATTTTGTATTGATATTAAAGTATGAAATAATTTATAACACACTTTCAAGCTCAAACAAAGCAGTGGAATTTTAAGCGTCTGTCTAAGAGGATGCTATTTTGCAAAATTTTAGATTTAAAGACCCGCACTTTCTGTATTTGAACTATTTTAAAGCAGAGCAAACAAGAACGCGTCCGAACACTTTAAACTCACTCACTCACTCAACAATATGTACTTTAATTCACTGACACGGTTGATAAGCCGTTCTTATCTTTTCTTTAAATATTGCTGATATAGTTGCATTCGTATTGTTAGCGATTTTTCAATTGATGCTTAATATTATTCATTATGATCACTGAAGTACATAGAAGATCAAAGTACATAGATCTCGTTCTATCAACGATCTTTCGAAATTGTGTATTAGAACGAAAATTTCTGATGTTAATAGTAAACCCACATAAAAATCATTGTTTTTGAAAGTTTCGCCTAACATATTTATTTCAGTATGAATTTCTATACCTGTAAATTTTTTTTTTTTAAAGGATTTAATTATTGTACAGAATTAACAGATCGAAATTAGATTTGTTCTCATAAAATGTGAAACATTAAATTAAGTGAAAGTTTTAGTTATACTATTGACGAATTAATATGTACTCCGTGAACTTGTTGAAGAGCCCAGTCTAATATGTAATAATTTTATCTATTGACAGAGAGAACAAGCACCAAGATGTCCTGAAACCTGTCCAGCAGAACAAATGTCAAAGCAAAGACAATGCTTGAATGAACGCAGCATATTAATTTTGAATATGTTGAAGTCATTATTTTTTAATCCATTACTGACTATGACTTTATTGGGTATTGCTGGTGGTTTTATCTTTCCCAATGGCTTACCGGAATTGGTAGCATGTGTACTACGAGTTTTTGGACAATCATTTTCTGCAACCGCACTATTTTTATTGGGATTGAAAATTGTGGGACAAGGCGGTAACAAAACTTTGAATGGCTCTGCATTTTTATTACCTGGGATTCTAATTTTAGTAAAAATGTATTAAAACTTAAATTTACTTTTTAAAAATGAAATTTGTTATTTATCAATCTGTTTTTTGTTTTTAGATTGGTATTGCCTTTGGTTTGTAGACAAACAGTTAATATAATGCAAGCTGGTACAGATTTTAATGACACTACTGAATTAAGTACTTATGGATTTCTGTATGGAACTTTTCCAGCCGCCCCTGGCGCTTTTGTTATTGCATCTCAGTACAATGTTGAAGTTGAACTGGTATGTCAAACACTAAAATAAAATACAAAATTAATATCTTTTATTATATTCTTCTTATTTTTCAGATTGCTCAAAGTATGGTACTTTGCACATTTATTTCAGCACCTTTAATGTTTATCTCTGCGAAAATGATTTCTCTAACGAATCTCAATCCTGTGGATTATCTACATGAACTAGACGCCTTTTCATTTGACATTAGTATTGCGGGTGTGGCAGCCTGTGGTTGGGTTCTATTATTGCTCATAACGTCGAAACGCTTAAAACGTATGCCACATCGAATCACAGCATGCTTGGTGCTTTCTCAAGTAATATTCTTTATTTTCATAGTTTATTTAAAACAAATTGTAGTTAGTTTATTCATTTAACAGCGAATAAAATTTAACTTCAATCATTAACATTAAGCTAAAATATATTAAATTTATATCTAAACAAATACTTTAGCACTTTTTTTATTTTCTTCGTTCAATATATTTTTTTTTCCGCATAAAAACCTTCCTTTAGCTAGTAGTTCTTTTGCAATTTTTATTTTTTCTTTTTCATCATTTTGTTATAAATTCTTATAAAATATACTTTGAGGTTAATTTAAAAGTTTAACTTTAGTATTGTTGGTTTCGGTAGTTATTGTTAGTGATTATTTTTAAGAACCAACTTTAATTAAAATCACTAGAAAAGGAAAATAAACTGCACAATGTGGACATATGAAGGTAAAATATGTTATTATTACTTTTATTTGGATGATGTTAATAACCACTGGTGTTAAAATAAATGCTTGTCTACATTTCTTAATACTTTACATATTTTTAAATAAAATATATACTAACCTTTATGTACTCAAAATAGTATAGTTTTAATATATATGTATGTTTCACGTTTTAGTTCTATAAAAATATTACTATACTATATATATATATATAAACCTTTACTTATTTCTCTTATAGCTAATGTGTTGCATTGGTGTTATTCTGTGGTCAAAACTGGAACACTTTGAAACATGGCAACATTATATACAGTTCTTCCTATTTAATATAGGCAGTTATAGTAGTCGTTTATGGACTGGCATTTTAGCGATTACTTTGCTATTTCTACAATGCCGCAGTTTGTGTTTTGTGCTAAAGCTTTGGCCTTATATGGTGAGTTTTATAGTTAACAATTCTTAATAAAAAATTTAAATGTATTATGTTAATAATTTTTCTTTGATATTTCAGGTAACATTTGCTTGGGGAGTTCCAGCTATTATATCTGGACTACTGATTGCTTTTGATAGTAATGTTATGTCGAAAGAAAAACATAATCCAAGTTTTCAATATGGTAATGCACAAGCTGCTGTCTCTGTGTTTTTGCTAGTTATGTGCTTCATAGGTAAGATTAAATAACTAAGAATTTAAATTTTATAAACTACTCTTAATATGATGTTAACCCTGCAATTTGACATGTTATTATAAACACGAAATATTACTTCAAATTTAATTTGACTCAGTTTAAGTTTATTGATTGTAAAGTTAATAAAAGAACTGGGAAAACTTAATGAAGTATTTTTAGTGTTTTTCAGTGATGTTCATAAAGTTTTCAAACTGATTTAGTTTATTTAGTATATATGTATATATCTAAAATTTCATAAAATCTCCCAATAAACCCCATTTATTTTTCTTTAGTCACTGTCGGCTGTTTGGTACTACATCAACGTTACAAAAAGCGTTACGAAAAGTATTTAAATTTTGCGCGTGAATTGTCAAATCCCGAATCAGGTAATTATAGTTTTCTACTAATTACAATAATCATTTATAAATTTCAATATTTTCAATACTTTTAGAATCGTCAGATTTGCAATCGACTATATCAACGGCAAATTTATTATCAAATGTGGATAGTAATGTTAATACAACTATACATCATCGACATCGTAATGCTTCTTATTCATCATCATCTGATGATGAGGAAATGATACGTACAACTTCAAATACCCAGAACAATAATACTAATGTACGTGGTTGTGCTGGAGGTAGTGGTAATTGTTGTTCATCGACAGTAACAACTCCAACCACAGCAACAACTGTTGTTGTTGATATTGAGGATTTGTTAAATAGACGCAATACAGCTATAAATAAAAATAGCAGTCCAACTACTTCAACAGATCAGTTTCATGATGAGTAAGTTGTAATATTAAAAATACACCTAAAAATAAAAGTAGTTTCGTCTTTACTTATTGTTTAAATATACAACAACTTATTAACAAATTGGTAAGATCTTATATATCATTGCTTATATAATAGACACTCGGTTTAATGAATATCCAATGTGAAAAACCCTATTAAATAATGAAAGATGAAGTAGTTATGAATAACAAACATTTCAAAATTTTTTTTTATAATAAAAAACATTTTAAAATTAGTTTTTAATATTCTTTTTATTTACACCAATATTTCGACTATATTCTATAGTCATCTTCAGGGTACTAATACAATGTTTTATAATACAGCAATAATTGAGTATAAGTTACAATGTATTGCAATGTATTTTAATTAATTTGATATTAATGTTAATATTAACATCGAAAAAGTACTCTGAAGATATAGAATATAGTCGAATTATTGGTGTAATTAAAAAAATGCATAATTTAACAATTGACCAATTGGTTCGTTCCAAAAACAAAATTATTAATAAAAATGATTAATAATCATTAAAATCATCAAAAAAAGAAATTATTAAAAATGTTTTTATAAAAATGATATGTAATAAAGCAAACGAAATGAATTTAAAATAACTAAAGGCCTTGACATTATATATTTCATTAAATTGAAAGTCCACCGTCTACCATTTTATGTAAAAAGTATCTAGAATTTATATTTTAAAAACGTGCATAGAAGATATCCAACAACTTTTTTTTTTAGTAAATTGGTACTGCTGTGCAGTTGTACTAATCTAAATTTGAGCGGGATTATACATTTGAGTGTACTGCGATGGCACAAAGCTAATGTTGTGCAAATATATTTGGCGAAAGACTGAAGGTATTTTTAGTGGAAGAGCTATATCTTAAACTGCAAACCAAAAAAATTTATGATTACTTAGGGCAAGCTTTGAAATAGTTGTATTGTAACCATCAATTAAAAATTATAATTGAATGATTTATAGTTTCTTAATTCATACTACTAAAAATAAAACATTGATATAAATGGCAGAGAAGATGAAACGAAATATTTTTTTTTCTTAAAATAAAGTATTTTATGTCGAACTTTGAATTTTACAGTTTCAGACATAATCATGCTGCACGGACAATGTGTAGTCCATCGTTTGACTGTGGACCGAGTACATCAAGACAAAATTGTCAAAATATGATTGAACGTTATGAGGAGCAAACAAGAAATGGTCTTGAACCTTTAGAATTTCCAACCGATACAGATGAGCATCAAACGTTAAAACACACTGTATTGCTGATCATTTTATTATGTTCAATGTTTGTGGTAAGCTAATAGTCCTTTTAATCTAAAAAACTTTATCTTTTAAAACTATATACTTTTTGTTTGATATTTTAGAGCTTATCCGTATCAATTTGGACGCTTGTCATGGAGGGCATGTCTGGAATTTATTTGGAATTAAGTTTTTTGGAGGCTTTCTTAAACTTCGGACAAAGTTTAATTGTCTTAGCTGTATTCTTGACCGATACTGGCGAGTTTCTTATGCCAATTGTTAAATTTTGGCGTAAATTATGGTATAAGTTTTTTTTTTTTGTTCGAAAAAAATAAGCCATTAATTTTAATACATTTCTTTAGGTATGGTGCAAATGTACTTACTTTGCCACACTGGTCGACTCTCAGTTCAACAACGAAACATATATGCGAACAATTTCGTAATCATCATTTGGAAAATTGCAAGAAGGAACTTGCAAAGGACAGAAGGTTTGTTTTCATCAGTTTTTAAAATCAATTCAATTTTCCGAAGATTAAATAAACACATTGAATATTTTTGAATAGGTGGCGTATTAGAGTTTATCGTCAAGTATTCTATGGTTGCGATTTTGTCGATTGGTTAATTGAAGTAGGCTTATCCAAGGATCGTTTAGAAGCAGTACATTATGCAAAACATTTGGTGGATGGTCGAGTGCTTCGTCATATAAATAATGTATATCACTTTGAAGACAAAAAGTTACTTTACAATTTTTGCAGTCGTATTTAAGCAGTTCAAGTGTATCTATAATTCATCGATAATGTTTTAAAAAATGTGTATAACTTTTTTATTGTTATTATGTTATCTGTTGCAGTTATATAAACAAAGTTAATTGTACTGCAAAATATTTTTGAAACTATTAGTTAAGTGTCGTGCTGTGATCTTTAACGAAAAAGTTATATGCGTAGACAGCCATTTACGCAGATAACTTTAATGATACATTTTTTTTATTATTTTAAATTTGTTCATTTTAATTAGAATTATTTTAAAAATAAGTGTTGTTTTTTATTTAAGTTATTGTAAATTTATTAAATTTTGAATAGAGTTTGTCTTAGTTTTAAACTAGTCTCAAATTTTTTTTGTAAACAAATCTTTTTTTAACTATGATTTATATAAAATTAATAAAAAAACCCAATTTATTTTTGTTTAATATGGTTTTTTTAAGTTAAGCTTATGTGGCGTTTATTTAAAATCAGTTTATATATTATTACAATAGTATAATAATACCGAATTACCTAAAATAATTGCTATTTGTTTAATAAATAATAATTTTATTATTTAATTATTTGTGATCGAACTTCGTATATATTTAAAAAAAAGTTTACTTTATTTTAGTTCACTTTATTATTTAATTTAATTGTTTAATAACGAATTTGATAATTTAATACAATTATCTTATACCATAAGTTAAACAACAGTTAACTTCTTTAAGCTTTAGAAAATAAATATAATCGCTACAAAAATGTATCCTTTATAAAAAACCATAATTTATTTGTGTTGATCAAAACCAAACATTCATAAAAAGCAAATTATAAATGGAATATTTAAATATATCTAAACTTATAAAATTATGTTAGAAAATTAGTTACAAATCTCGATACATAATTATTAAAATAGAACACAATTAATTGTTTCCTTTGAGTTCTATAAATTGAATTTGATTTTTGTTTCTAAATTTCAATATAGTCAATCATAATAATTTTTAATGTTAAAACTAAAAATAATACTCTTAGAATATATTTATAATATAAAGTTATTTTTATTTTTTATATATGCTTTAAAAGAGCAAAAAAATTTTTTTTGTCAATATCATTCATACTTTTGACAAGATATGCATTAGAACTAAGAAATGACCAAATAAAGTATATAGTCTGTAATCAATGCTTTATGCTGTTGTTGTAGCTCTGATTAAAGATTTATTAGGTTATTGTAAACCATTATGTTTCATATGTTAGTTCTTGGGTGATGGTCAAATATCTTTACGAATTGTATAAGCCCAATGGGAAACATTTATAGATATAACATTTATAGGTATAATGTCAAGAAACATTTATAGATGAGTGACGCTTGGTCATAGACCTGGAGATAGCTGGAACGAAAATTGTATCATAAGGTAGTACGTGTATAATTAAGTGAGATAATTTTTAAAAATTAATACTTTCAGGCTTAGCAATAAACTTATTTTGACATTAAAATATTAAGTAGAAGTTGTTAAACACTATGTAGACATTTGACAGTTTATGTTGCTATTCCGAAAAGGAATCAAAACTAACAATAGTGAATGCCAAAGATTGTATCGACGTGTTAAAAATAGTATTGATATGGAAAAAGGTGTTGTTAACCCGAGACGTGTTTACAACTGTAAACTTATAAAAAATTGTTAAACTATAGTAAATACTTCATAAATAGAGAAAATAATAGAATTATTATTTTCAATTAAAACCTTTGATTTTCATTGTTCTGGCTAAATTTTATAAATTGTAATTGTATTAAAAATTTTTTTTGAATACATCGTCCCACAGTCTTTTAAAAAAAATCTAAACATCCAATTAAACAATGTTAAAGTTGTAAGCATTTAAAAATTGTTAGATTTTTCAATAAAGTTCATAAAGGTTTCATTTAAAATAATTAATGATTTCCTATAAGTAGAAGCTTTCCTATTAAAGGCAGTCCTAATGAAATGTACGTAGAGCAAATAAAGCTAACTCAACAGTAGACTTCAAAAAGCTAATAGTAGATAAATTGGTCAAAAATTAATATGTATGCTATCATTTTCATAAGCTATGATTTATATGTTTATTGTAATTATTTTAAATGAATTTTTTATATAAAATAATTCAATCTATTTATATAATTTAATGTTTAACATGAAATTAGTTTGCCAAATTATTTCATTTAAATTGTTAATTGTTTGTATAATTATTAAATTTTTTTAATAATCGAAAAAGTATTATAATTAACATTTATTAAAATTATTATAACAGTAGACGTTCAATATAATGAACATGCAATTTAATCATATTCAATTTAACGAAAGAAACTGTCATTGTCTACTCTATATGCCGAATTTATAATATGGTATATAAAATATTCACAGATTTAACGAATCCTATAATATATTTATGTTAATATATTTAAAGGTATCTGTTGCTGAAACATTAACAAAAATACAACCATTTTCCAAAAACAGTGTACGTAACATTAAAAACATAATTTATAAAAGGAAGCATATAAAAAATCGGAAAGAGCATTTAAAACCAAAAAATAATAATATATGAACTATTAAAAGCTATATTTCTTTTTTCCCATTATATTCGAAACAATGGTTGCAATCTAAAAAGACTCTCAACAAACCTCTATATTTCTTTATTTTCGTCATCTTCGGAACAATGGTTGCAGTCCAAAAAGATTCTCAACAAACTTCTATATTTCTTTATTTTCGTCATCTTCGAAACAGTGGTTGCAGTCTAAAAAGGTTCTTAAGAAGTCTCTATCTGATGTCTCTTGGGAAGAAGAACACTTCTAACATGCAGCAAAAGATGTCTTTGCTTACTTAAGATCCGGATACAGTCACGTGCTAAATAGTCACTTTTTAAGAATAGATACTGCAATCCCCATTGTGTGTCTTAACTACAATTCTACACACCATGACGTCACTCATCTGTTCATTTGTCCCAGCACATATACTAAACTAAGCCCTATCGATCGTTAGCTTAGTCTCATTGGAGTGGCAACATTGCTACACCTATGCTTTTTCCATCAATCATTCTTCAAACTTCGAGAAACTTCACATTCACTCTTTTTGAATACGATTTATTAGCCTGTGTTTCCTTTTTAGAACCCTTTAATATATCCGGTCGTTTTTTTTTCTATTTATTTCTATTTCTTATCAATGGGCTATGCAAGAAATTATTCGTTACTTTGGACGTCTATTGTATTATTAAAAGTATAACCATTTAATTTCTTCACAATAATAAAGAAATAATTGTTTGACTTTTAAAAATAAAATCTTTTAAAATATTTAAATATAACCATGTAATTTGTCAGAAATGTGTGCTGTGCGTATAGATAAATAATAATTAAATTATGATATGTAATAACTAAAACATATTCAATTCTATATATTAAATGAGAAATATCATATATACCAAAAATGGTAAATTTAAAATAGATGCTACATGTCACAAGTATTTTATATATAAAAAAGCAGTACAAAATTTTGCTTTCACAATTGATATGAAAACACTTTAAAAACATGTACAAAAATATATATACTTTATATATAACATATTTATTATTTATTTACATATTAGTAAAAATTGTATGCAAAATAAATATTTTATTAAAGTCACGAAGATGCTTAAGCGAATAATGTTTATATTTCATTTTTCTAAGAGTGTAAGCCTGGTTGGATGAAGACTTGTCAAATCACATGGCACCACTGCTTCAAATAGGACTTTCACCATTCAGCTCCTGTCTACTAAAGCAATATCAATTAAGTGATACAGTATTGGTGCGTGTTATTTGACTTGGAGTTGGTGCTATGTATATCGAAAGGCAACTTAACTGGGGTAGATTTGTTAGTGACTGAAAAAATATTAAAATCTTCGGAATCTCTGTTCTAAGTGTCCTGAGAACTGCCAGCTTCGAAACCTAGGGAAGTAGCAAAGTTTATAGATTTGTCATGTTAGTACCATTCTATTTGAATGAAAGAGTCGGGCTTTCACAAATTCACGTTGTTTCTGTGAGAGACACTTTGAACTTTTAACGTTAAGATGGACCTTCAGATCTGATGTGGGGATCTTCGTGTTATTACAACTAAACATTACTTATCCTGGTAATATTAACAAAATATTTGATATGAATAACATAAATTTAGTTTCGTTTTTTAGGAAATTGAATTTAATATACAAGTCAGCATTGGTGCAGAATTATAGTCTGTTGTGATATCACAGATATGCGTATGTTAGACCAAAAGGTTTATGCGCTGACTTCTACATTTAAGGACCTTCAGGTCTAGTGTACGGATAGTGTGTCATCTGTAGTATCAAAACGGGACTTTATTTGTGCTCAAGTAATCGGCATGTTATGATTCCAGTCACAGTCACCTATTGTCGTTGCTCTCAATGTAAAATGACATAAATTGTCAATGTCAGAATTTCATTTTGCATTAAAAGCAACAACAATTTGCGTGATTGTGACTGCAATCATAACATGCCTCTAAGCTTTGATGCATAAGGCTGTCACTTTAACTTCACCTAACAACCTAGCGTTTATCGGTAGTATTAACAAAGTATATATTTTATATTATAAAAAATAGAAATTCAATTAAGTTTTGTAGAAAAAAAGAAAGAAGTTTTGTCAAATCTGTTTGTTGCTCGTAAACTAACGATGCAAAAATAATTACGAAATTAATAGACCTACCGGTAAAGTTTTTATGTTTATTTTTAAATTAAATTGTTCACCAAAACAGTAAAGTGGATAGATTTTGCTCACAAATCAGAAATAAACTTATCAATAAAACAAATAATCCATTATTAAGTTATTCTTTTTGTGGCATTAAAAAGCTTGGAGTATTCTTTTTTGGGTACACAAATAATTAAATAAACGTGCCTCACATAACAAAGTTCATCATAGAATTTTATTGTGCTATGTACTTAGCTTTTGTTGAGAAATTATTTTATAATTTATTTTAGAGAATTTTTTAAATTGTTTATATATAGTTACTTAAATGCTTTAGACTTCTCGTTTAACCAAAACGGTCGCACCACACATTTTTTTCATTTTTTTCATTTTTTCATAAGCACATGAGCATAGGAGCTTTGTATAAAGTATAAACTTGTATTGTCAGATTTAAAGTGTTACTTTTGTTGAATTTCAATTAGTTCAGCTTATTTTTATTGTTTTAAGAAAATATTTAAATTATTTATTATTATATACATTTTATTGTTTTAGAATAATTTCGCAATCGCCCAGTCGCAACTGGCGAAAAATGCGAATGGCTTAGGTAAGTGAAATTGTAAGTCACTCCTAACTAATTGAGATGCAAATTTTAAGCAAAAATTGTTTTTGTAGTTTTATAGGGAAATAGTCCAACGATCGTCGTGTGCCTATGCAGAAGAGGCACAATACGGGGATAATAAATTAAAATAATCAAATGAATCTAGTTAAAAATTGCAGACACTTAAAATCTAAACTGACAAAGGTTCTAGATTGGCGACAATACATTAGAGATAAACCGCCTTTTACACATCTACATACCATTTTCAAACATTTCATTTTCCATATGTTGTATGTGTACCATAGAACCCCATTAACAGATTAGCAATTTATTTAGGTCAGTATTCGAATTCAAATATTATTAGATTTTACTCAACAGCTATTAGAAAAATGACTTCACCCTAGAGATTCAACAAAGAATAACTCTTGCCAACAAATGTTACTCCGGATTAAGTAAGCAATTGAAAAATAAAACCATCTCTCATCAAGCAAAAATTACGCTATACAAGTCTTTTATCATGTCTTTCCTGCTGTATGGTGTAAAATCTTTGATAATTACCAACAGTGAAGAGAAGGCGTTAGCAGCATTCGAGAGACGGAATATTTCTATGGAAGATTTATGATCCCTTACGCATTGGCGACGAGTATCGAATTAGATGTAACGATGACCTGTATGAACTATACCGCGCCATGGACATAGTTAAGCGCATAAAAATTCAGCGGTTTCGCTGGCTACCATACTTACCACTATTGTAGTTGTTACTTTATACTATGTAATTTTGTAACTATATTGTTTTAATTATTATCATAATGACAGACTATTACAATGTACTTCATGTATTATTGTATTAAAATACATTTAAAAACAAATTTTTGCTACTCGTAGATAAAATATATAAAGGTTTCTTATCTTCTCTTTTCTATATTTAATTTGATAAAATCAAATATTTATATAAACACGTAATTTTATTACAAAATTTATATTCAGTTTAAACATTATTAAGTACAGATGTTTAAAGCTCCACCGGCTTCATTTCAACGCTTACGACCAAGAGGCTTTGTGGTATGGATACCCGATATTTCATTTTATTCCTTATTCGTAAGCTCAGCTCTCACAGTTCTAATCCTACTAGCATATATCCAATACAAATGTCTATAGATTATAACCAGTAAAGCCAGTTATTAAAAACCATATATCAAGGCAGCATTCACGATACGCACCAAGCACCAAATCCGCTAGAAATACCACATTAAAGCCTTATCTAGAGGAGTAAGGAAGAAAAATAAAATTATAAAATATCAAGTTCCTAAAATATCAAGTTTTACCAAAATACTCTGAGAAGAAAAAGAAATACGCTCTAAATTTGAGCAGATCGAATTTAAAAATAATAATCATTGCCGAAAAAAAAATGATCACTGCCTTTTGTGCGAACATAAACTTTGGTTAAAACAATCAGAAATGGACGAATGCAGAGTATATGCGGAAGATACAGAAACCTTCCTTCAAATCCTTGAAGAATATCTGGTTCTTACATACTAAAGGAAGAGAATTTTTTACAAATTATTTATGAGTTAGGTCCATGAATCGACCTAGTAAAGTTTAAAATACGAGTATTTTTTAGATATAGAAAGCCTTGCTTTTCTTACTATAAGATAAGAATTTTTCAAAAATCATTGATCCACTAATTAGAGTGATTGATTTTATTTACTAGAAGTACTATCTTAAAATTAACGGTCCTTTTCGAATTACCATGATCATGTCCGACTTGTCAAAGTTTTAACTCATACTATGATTATTTCATTTCTCAACAAAACGCTTCGACCAGTGTCGAATCCATTGGCAACAAACAAGTGTTAAGCGTTCATATAATGATTTATTTAATTATTTATTATATTATTATTCGAGTCATTTATTCAATGCTTTGAAGAAATCTTCAAACTATATTGAATACTCTATTTGTACGTCTTCATATCATCCAGTAAGGAAAATAATGAGACCCCAAAACGCGTGCTGTTAGTTTATCCGGCACTGATACCAGAATATCATCAAAAAGAAGTGCCTAGATGGACATGTTATATCGGATGACGAAATGAAGTTTTGTTCAATTACAACAAATAAATGAAGTTGGACCCTGGAGAATTACTTTAAGGCCATGAAGCGGGCACTTAAACGAAATCCAAAAATTTTAAGCTCTTATGCATTTTTTTCATATTCATATTAATCTTAAAAGTGTATGCAGTTGAATAATAATAATTATTTTATAGTTACTCATTGTTTGTTGTAAGTTTCAATAAAACGTTTATCATTATTTACATGTTAAAATGGTATTAAAACTTAAGTATTTTCAAAATGACTGAAGTGTAAAAAATAAAAGTAAATAAAAGAAAATAGATAAAGTATGAAAATAATAGATAAAGGTTACTTATATTTTCTTTGTTCCAAAATTTATATTCAGTTTAAACATTATTAAGTAAAGATGTTTATAACAATTTCATGTACAGCAGTTCTTTGCATTGGTTTAGCAGCATTTTTTCATCAGACTACTGCTTTTCAAGCTCCACAAGCTTCATTTAAACGCTTACAACCAAGAGGCTTTATGGTGTGTATACCCGATAAACCTGGTATTTCTTTGTTTGCATTCCATGGAAATTTAAATCGACCAATGAATGGCTTAGAAGCTGGTACTTGGTCAGTTGATATAACTGGTAAAGAAGAAGGAAAATGGGTGTATTGGAATCATGAAGCAGTAGTAAATCCAGGGGACAAAATTCACTTTTGGACTTACGTTTTGAAAGATGGACTCGGCTATCGTCAGGATAATGGTGTGTTCAATGTTTAGCTTATATATGTGTACATCTAAATAAAAGTATATTAATATGAGCATTTCTAATAGAAAACTTTTTAATTTCATTATTGATTTCCGTGTAATTAATATGTTCAATAGTCAATATTTAATAAAAAGTGATAAATTTTTTGGTTCTCATAGTGTTATATAGTGATCTTGCTCCTACCTTTCTTGTGTGTATTTTATCTGTCTATAAAGCCTACATTTTGGCTCCAAACGAGTTAATAGGTTGCCAGTGCTGTGAAAGGTTTATATGCATATCAAATATTGTAAACTAAAAGCAAATCTTTGGAAACTTAAGTGTAAAAACTCTTGATATCCAATGTCATGTGAAACACAGGAAGAAACTATTGTCCAACGCAAATCATTAGATCAAAAAGGTGTCCGAGTTGTAAAAGAATGACCCATATACACATGAGTAAAAATCTCATAATGCCACGCATAATGCCAATAAAATTCACCGACTTCAAAAAAGTTTACACCCATTCTATCCTATAGAAACAACGTCATTGTTAATAACTAGATTGTCAAAATTATAAATCCATATAGTTAAAGAAGTTTAATATATATAATATATCCCATACATATTTATTTAAAAAATTATTTCCTTTAAAATTTAAATATTTATATAATGTATGTAATATATATGTATATATATATATATATATATATATAAATATATCATTTGTGCAGATAAGAAATTTTTATTGTTCCCACAACCAAAACCTTTTCTCATCTTCGCTATGTACTAATTATACTTCGAACATCATTTGTGTGGACATCATTTGCAATCAGTGTTCTTTACCCTTCACAGCATAAAAATAGTTCATCAAGTTTGTGGTAATGTTTGTAACACAATAGATGTAAAAATGAATTTATTTATTTATTTATAACAAATAGTCTTGATTGCTATTTGGTAAGTGAACAATTTGTCTCTCGTTTTAATATTTACTTATTCAAATCTCATATGGAAACGTTTATATAATTTTTCTAGTCATCAAGTTTTACTTTATTTCTTTTTTTTCCCTAATCGTAGACTCAACTCTCACCCTTCTAATCTCACTAGAACATATCCAATACAAAAGTAGATTATAACCAGTAAAGCCAGATTCTAAAAACCATATATCAGGGCAGCATTCACGATACGCACCATCTATGATAGCTGACAAGCAACAAATCCGCTAGAAATACCACATTAAAGCCTTATGGTAATTAAAAGAGTAAGGAAGAAAAATATATATACAAAATACTTTATATAAAATACCAGACAGAATAGGGTGGGAAGAACATTGAATCAATTTCACTTCATATGGTATTATCTGCTACATAGATGACTTTAAAATTAAATAGAGTTCCAACTGGGCCATTTTTGAGAGTAAGGTCAAGACTAAAAAATATGCCAGTATGCATGCGCTGAAGAAAGCCATTGTTTAGGTATGCGCCATAATATCAGAAGATCAGATTCGTAAAGCATGCAACACTTTTTTTAAACGTTTGAAGGCCATAGTCAAGACAAAAGGTGGCCAGAGCTAGAGTGAATGGATTCAGAAATTTTGATTATTCCCATAAATTATTGTAAATTGAATTAATATAAAATAATACCACCCAAAGAAATATGGTCGCTTGAGATAATAGGTTCAGATTAAATTAATATAAAATAATTCCACCCAAAGAAATATGGTTGCTTGAGATATTAGGTTCAGATGAAGTTAGCTTGAGAAGCTTGAGATGAAGTTAGGCTTCAATTGCCTAACTTTCTATATTATATTATATTAAATTAAATTCATTATCCTTTGTTTCTATAATACATATTAAATTTTACTGAAATTTTTAGTATTTCTTGTAATTTGCTTTAAGTTGTTTTTGACAAAATTTTAATATTACTTGCACTTCGGTGACCTATTTTATCACTATACATAAATGCTAATATTTGTGCCAAAATATTATTAAAAATTATTTAAACTCTTTTCTTTTGCAATTTCTTTAACAAAATATTGGCAACGCTATTGACAACTAATATATTGAGGCCCTTACCAATAATGAGACCACAAAGTCAACCAAAAGGAGTGAATTAATCATTACTTAGCAGAAGTGTCCTTCGACGAAAGTAGTAAAATTCTGAAATTGAGGTTAATGAAAATATAAGCAACAATGTTGTGACGGCAGCAAAAAGATGACCGGCCGCACTACGTAAAAATATAAATATAAACAAAGGCAAATTTTATGAGCAAGAAACTTTTGGTCAATTGTAAGGAGTTCTGAAAGGTAATTGACCTCGTTTATAGGAAGAGTTGAAAAACGAAAAAATATTGGCACACGCACAAAAACACAAGCCAAATTAATTAAGCAAAATCCAAATAAATAAATGATAAGACGCCTTAAGTCAAATAAACTTTCGTAGATGATGAAAAACTGACGCTTGTAGTTATGTGTCTAGGACATTGTCAATATGGTAAAGGCATCACTATCAGGCGTTAATAGACAATAATAGAAAAAATATTTATTTCTTTTTGCAAAAAAAAAAAAAATCGTAAGATATTGTCAAAACACACTATAGATACTTTAGTCATTTTCTAATGGATTCATAAATTGCGGTTGATTATTCGATTTTAGTAATTTTTGTGACATGTTTTTGAACGTTTTCAGTAACTTTTTTTTAACTTCGTATTCTTAGAAAACAATTAAAACAGAAAAGGGTTAAAGTAGCGTCAAAATTCCGAGTAATCCCTTAAGGTTGTCAGTTAAGTAACTGACAAGTACGTCAATTCCTTATGCGTTGCTGCGCATTATTCTGTCATAAATATTTTCGTTGGAGAAACTTTTTCATCCATCTTTTTGATTTTAATTAGATTTTTGTTTATTAATAACCAACTTATGAACATAGAATACACATAAAACTGATTTATTGGTTTGATTGTTTATTTCATTTATTATTTCATTTATTGTTATAATTACAATTACATGTCATGAATTGACAATCTCACAATCTCATATACACCATGACGTATGAGTAACGTTAAAACTGTCCCTTGAATGCTGCATATGCAATGCAAAGTAAATAAATATGAGTATCGTTTTTACAACGTATCGTTTTGTATATTAATTAAATGCATTGCCTGCGTAATTTCGTAGAATTTTTCTCTCAGAATTCTCAGAAATCTTTTGAATACAATATGTAAATGATATTTTATATAATTTTAAATATCATATTATCATATTAATAAATCAGCTCACGCACATACCTGACGCCTCAAAACTCGTCTTTGTCTGTGCATGTCTTCTTTCATATTTAATATAAATTTACAAATTTTTTATATTTAACAAAAGATCGGTTTTCTGGCACAATGAATTCCTTTTTTACACAATCCAGTCCAAAGTTGTTCGATACACACATTATCGACACTTAAAATCATATTTGCGTTTAATGATTCGATCGCATAATTTAGCATTAAGAATGCATTTTGCAGCTCAACATTTCTCGCTGCGTGGAATGTAAAATTTTTTAAAAATATTTTTTTTTTTAATATTTTTATTACAAATAAATATAATTAAATTCTTATATATGGAATGCATACATTCATAAATACAAACAAAATTATTTTTGGTGCTTAATTTATGCATAGTTAAGATAAAACGTATATGAATTGTTTACTTTAAAATTTTAAAGACTTTATATAAATTTCATGCACTTCAAGAGGCGGTTTATAAAAATGTAGTACAGTCAAAGCTCTGTATAGCGAACCTCTCTATAGCGAATCTCTCTATAATGAAAATTTTTTGCAGGAACCAAAATCTTCGTTATAGAGGGGTTTGACTGTATATGGGGTTTTTTATTACAATTCATTTATATTATGTTCAGACACACCTTAATCTCGCAAAAATCTTAATTTCATCTTCGTTTCAGCGAAATTAAGGTCGTGTGCGAGTTAGGCTAAGTTGGGTTCTAAATGAGGGAAATTCTAAGTTGTGCCGATAATGTAGTGATGTGTCGATACGTGTTGATAAATGGCTAAATGTGTACAGTGCAAAAAATCCTAAAAAATCTCCCATTTGGTTTAGCATCAACTTAGCCTAACTCGCACACGTCCTAAGTTGTTTTTTTCATACAAAATTCAGTTTTAAGGTTAGAACGAAATTAAGAAAAATGCCCTTAATTTCGTTGAAACGAAGGCTGAAACTAAGGAATATTTCAAATGCAACTATGCGTAAAATACATTTTCAGCAAAAGATAAAGTTGAGATAACGTAAAAGGGATATTTTTAAATAAATATAAATAAATATCAGTGCAGTTGACGATAATTAAAACGGGAAATTATTTTGAAAGTAGTGCAAATTTTTAAATTTGAATATAGAGAAAAAACCATTCTATTTAAAATAGAATGAAAAATAATAATTCACATACCTGAAATCCATTAACGCCAATAAAACTACTGCATGTGATCCTTGATAGGTATAATAATCAACTTTTAAAATTTCCCAGATACAAATGGTGTTTGGAGCATGTAATTTTTAACATTCGATTTGTAAACATAAAACATATGATTTCCTTGGTTTGGTGCAGTATGAACACTTTCGAAATTAACTTTATTTCATTTTTACGAAATTAAGAAAATTTGGCTTTCTGAACATAGTATTATAGCTAAAATTTGAGGAAACTTATGGTATTTTTTATGAAATTATCTATTAGATTATAATAAAGAATATATATTAAAAATAAAATTTAATAATATAATATTTAAAAGCGCCCTAGATATGATAAATTCCTTTGCCTACCTTTGTTACGCCACTGGTTATGATAGACGGAAGCGATGTACTATTTATTTTTGCTGAAGTTAGAAGAATTTATGTTTTTTCCGTAAGAGATTTTTGGTAATAATTAGTTAAATATTTTATAGATATGGAAATTAAATGAGAATTCTTGTTTAGGATCAATAATTAGTTGTTGTGTGGTAAAAATAAATAAAATGGAAATAATTATAGCTATTTAAATAAAAAACATGTGAATATAGTTTTTTCAATATCCGCGATATATATATACTTATATACATAATATGAATATTTATTTACTATTAATATGTATAACATATTTATTTCAAATTTATATAATGTGCATATATATTTACTTATTTATTACTAACATAATCTTTTAAGTATATTTTATTATATAATTTTATTTTCTACTACTAGAACTCCTGCTTCAAATAGAGAGGTGCTTACTATATGTGGAAAAATTTACAAAATTTTTTTTTCCAATAAGTGGAAAACATCAGAAGCTACAGTGTGACCTTAAACCCATTAAAACTACCTCTTAGGAATGAGTTGAAAAAATCTCAGCCATTAGACTGCGGATAACTTCCTGTTAGAATCGCATTCCACGGGGATGAAATATTAGAAACTTAGGACATGTACGAGTTAGGCTAAGTTTCGTTCTAAGTGAGGGAAATTCTAAGTTGTGCCTATAATGTAGTGATGTGTCGATACGTGTTGACAAATGGCTAAATGTGTGCAGTGCAAAAAATCCCAAAGAAACTCCCATTTGGTTTAGCATCAACTTAGCCTAAGTCGCACACGTCCTTAGTATTTGAATTTTTAAATTTAAATTTATCTAAGCGAAGAGTGAGAGCATAGTTTATATATGGGCGATAGTATTCATAAAAGATATGAACTCCTTAAGAGTATACTCTTTGAAGCAGGTTACTATTCACACGATTGAACAATGAAAATGTGTGGGGGCAGTGATCCATTTCATTAAAGTAGCAAAAAAGGGATTAGGGAAACCTATGAGAAAAATCTTAATAAAGTTCGATGAGAAGTTCGTTAGTGTGTAGAATATCAGGAGAGAGATTATATCGCCGAATTAAATAACTGCGCACTCTAAAGACAACAGATTATTATTTAATCCTTTTATTTCTAGGTGGAACAGAGGGCCGTAACAAATAGTTTCCATTGAACTCTATCTAATGCAAGACGTTTTGTTTCACTCCAGCTCTTCCCAGCATTTCTTAATTCGGCTTCAGTTTGTCGTTTCCAAGTATTGCGCGGACGCCCTGGTCTTCTACTGCCTTGAGGGTTGAAATCTAAGACATTTCTTGCGATATCATCAGCGGGTTTTCTTAACGTATGGCCAAGCCATTTGTATTTGCGCATCATTATTTCATCAGTTATAAGAGGCTGATTCGTTCTAAACCCGAGCTCATTATTGGTTATGGTTGCTGGCCAGAATACATGAAGGATGCGTCGTAGACAGCGATTGACAAAGGCTTGTAGCTGTTGTGCGTCTCTTGCCGTTAGGTTCCAACTCTCACTACCATATAGTAAAGTTGATTTTACGTTTGCATTGTACAGGTGTATCTTAGTGCGTTGTGTGATGTTGGATGAACGCCAGATTTTGTTAAGGGTTCCAAACGCTTGCTTCGCTTTCGATAGCCTGTACTGTATGTCTTGCCGACTGCCGCCGTTGTTCGAAATGTAGCTTCCCAGATAGCAGAAACTTTGTACATCTTCGATGTAGGAGCCATCTAGTTGAAACTTCGTTAAGCAGTTTGAATTGAGACGCATAGACTTGGTTTTGTTGATATTGATTGACAGACCAGCTGCCAGTGCACGCTTTGCGATGTTGTTTAACGATATTTGACAACAGATGCTCATTGATTATTTTTATTAGTAAGAAATAACTTTTAATAGAATTGTTAGTAGAACGAGAAACTCGATTAAAGTAGTGATGGAATAATACAATAACACAGTTACGAAGGATTTTCCTTTAAAAAGCGCGTAAGTGTTTCAGATTAGAAACACGTTGGTAAAAATTTTTAAATATAGAAGTTCAGTTTTTAATTAGGCAACATTAGTAACATTAGCATAACTTTCTCAGTATTACATACTTAGATTATATTCTATACATAAAAAAAAATATAGGTATATATCATGCAACAAATAATGCCTCTACAAAAAGTATACTATTGAAATTTAACAATTAAAAATGAAAATATAATTAATTAATTCAATTATTCTTCAACTGGTTTATGATTGCGTTTTAATATAAACACAGCAAGTTAATTTGTTAGCAAAATTCCACAGCAATTTAACAAAACTCCAGAAAAATGTGCGAACGTAAGAGTCAAGTACGGTTTTGGGTCAGTTGGTTAAGGAGCGCTGACTCTGAGCTTCAAATTTGGCAGAACTTGAATTTGATTCCTGGTACTTGCAGTCTCAATAAAAAATTATTTACTAATAATTAAATACAAGAATTATTTCTAAGACTACTGATGATGGGTATTTGGCAATACTCGAAACAGCTGTATGTTGAACCAAAAATTCCATTTATTAATGAATAAAAAAAGTTTTGTTGTTGTGATTCACTACTTTTCGAAGAACCTCTTTTTAATTAAGTGAATTCTTGGATGGACCATACAGTTTTTCGAATACTTTCAAATATGTATTATCAATGGTGTTTTAAAAGATCTAATGGTTACATTGTTCGTAATTGTCTGGAATTCGACCTTGTCTAACTGTGGACTCGTAAGTGAACATACAAACGCAACTTACACTTAATTCGCGAAATTCAAATTTCGTAGTTCTTATTGCACTTATAGTAATATTTTTAGAACAAAGCCTTAACCACAGCTTATTATTTATAGAATCAGCACTTTTTTCATATGAAAAAGTGAATTTACTATGAAAACTATTGGTAATCATCGAGCGATTCTGACTAGCAAATATAATACATATTTTCAAGCATACACTTATGAGCATTTCATGTAGATTATTCAATTTCCGTTTCCAGATTTTGTGAATATAACAATAAACACACACTCACATATACATACATACACACATACACATAAACATAAAAGCAAGCGCAAGCGCGCCATCACTTTACGGAACCCAAAGGCAAAGGAAATATTTTAATTATTTTACTTATTTGTATTCCAGCAATGCAACCGTCTTACTTATCGGCATAAATCAATAACAAAAGTAAGAACAAAGTAAGTGTATCTGCTACGTCAACGTCAACATCAACGTCAACGTCAACATCAACGTCAATATCAACGTCAGCGTTAACGTTAACGTAAGCGTCAACGAATCATTTAATTGCAAAATCTTGACTTTTTATTGTGTGTGTTCTTTTGCTTAAAGGTATTGCTGCGAAGCTTTCGTCGCATCGTTGGCGAATGTCTCCCTTGTAAAGATCTGTAATTGCTTTGGGGAAGATTACTTGCTTGCTTGCCATTAACGAGAAACATTCATACACTTTATATACAACGGAAAGCTTAGCGACGCGTGCTTAACGCAGTCGCAAACATACAAAAAACAATAACAAAGCGAAAATGAACGCAAATTTATTTGCCTTCATATGAATTTGCCGGCTCACAGCTTGAGCAGTTCCTAATGAAAAGCGCAACTAGTCGGAGGCAATATTTTTGAAGTCCGAAAAAGTTTAACTTTACGCGATTTTTGTGTTAATTTCATTTTTGTTTTTGTTGCAAATAAATTGAATTAAATATTTTAATGTAAATTAAAAGTGCAAAAAATTTTTAAAAATTAAAACCAATTAAAACCTGTTTGTACTATTTTTTGACTATTTATTATATTTTAATTGAAAAGTATTTAGTGCAACTCTGAAAATTGACATCAACAAAAAACTATAATTAAATTGGCACCTGCAAAGTGCAACGCCAGTCGGCAACTTGTGGTACTTTTTTCATATATTCAATTTGCATGCATTAAAACAATAACAATTTGCTTAAGTTGAACAAATATCGAAAATATCTCGCAAAGAAACTGATTGAAGCAGTTTTACGTTTGCAATATGGATAACTCTACATTATCAGATGCAATGAACGAAACAGTAAGCAGTAATCTGCCGCTTTATTACAATCGTCGACGATTCGTATACGGCGGCATTATGATGTCTCTGGGTGTAGTTGGTAACTTTCTGGCTCTTTTGATATTGGCGCGCAAAAAAACCGGAAAGAATAGCAAATATACTTTAATGCTGCGGTAAGTACGATTCAACCTGTACCAAAATTACTTTAATTAAGTCTTGATGGATAATCATCACACTCAACTCAACATAATTACGGTTGGTTGAAAATTGGGCTTATGCTTTTTTTACAAAAATTTGTTTTACAAAATAAACAAAAGAAATTTAAAAAATCTATTTTAATAAAATAGTTCTATAAACTAATATCGATTTTCAGCCTAATTCAGAAAAAGTTAAATATGATGCATTTAAAAAGCATTATAAGAAATATTTTATCTATTATTAATTATTATTTTTTATTTTATTAAAATATTAATTTTAAAATATTAAAATATTAATTTTAATAAAAAAACTAATATAGATTTAATTCACATTTTATTTTATTAAAATATTAATTTTAATAAAAAAACTAATATAAATTTAGTCCATATTTTATTAAAATATTAATTTTAATAAAAAAAACTAATATAGATTTAGTCTATATTTTATTTTATTAAAATATTAATATTAATAAAAAAAACTAATGTAGATTTAGTCTATATTTTATTTTATTAAAATATTAATTTTAATAAAAACAAACTAATATAGATTTAGTCTACATTTTATTTTATTAAAATATTAATTTTAATAAAAGAACTTATATAGATTTAGTCTATACTTTATTTTATTAAAATATTCATTTTAATAAAAAAAACTAATATAGATTTAGTCTATATTTTATTTTATTAAAATATTAATTTTAATAAAAAAGCTATTACAGATTTAGTCTATATTTTATTTATTTTAAAATATTAATTTTAATAAAAAAATTAATATAGATTTAATCCACATATTATTTTATTAAAATATTAATTTTAATAAAAAAAACTAATATAGATTTAGTCTATATTTTATTTTATTAAAATAATAATTTTAATAAAAAAAACTAATATAGATTTAGTCTACATTTTATTTTATAAAAATAATTACTTAAAAAAAAAAATTATATAGATTTAGTCAAAAACGTGATACAACTTAATAGGCATTTAAATATAATAAAAATTGAAATTTATAAAGACTTTATAGTTCATCATAGCTGTGTCTCCAAAACAATTTCATTCGCAGTTTAAGGTAACAAGGGTCAAGAAATGTAAATAAAAACTGTCTATGACTGGCTTTTTATTATTTTAAATTATTTTTAAAATAACAACAAATTCACTTTATCTGTGTTATACACGATTCCATTAAAAACAAATAACATCAACTAAAATTTATTTTATTGCAGTAAAAAAATTAATTTCAATTACAAATTTAAAAAAAAAACTGCTAACAGTGAGAGAGAGTTATTAAAAATTATATATATTCATTATATTATACACTTAGCTTAGGTTAGGTTAGACTAGCGATCCTAAGGATCCACTTAAATCTATTAGCCCATTGTGTTGCTGTATAACGAAAACTGAGTGATTTAAAAACCAATTTATACGCTTCTCACTTTTGTAAATAAAAATCGAATTATGTTTAGTAATATTTCTGAAACGCAGTGAAGTAGGCATCTATGACTATAAACTAAACTATAACTGTCTTGATCTACAAAACAGATTAATTTATTAAAATTTATATAAATGTTGGAAAGCTTGTCTCTAGATTGGTTTTAGTAAATCCCTGTTTACTGAATGCCAAACTAATTTTTATTTCCAATAACCATCGGCATCTAGAATTATTGCTTCAGGATACACGTTTTAGTCGATAAGAAAGTTCGATGGTTACAGAATGTCATAAGTAGGGTTTCAAGCAAGGACTGTTTTCTAGCACCACACTAATTGTTTAAGATAGTAGCGGAATCTGAGGTGATACATTAAGTAATCCTTTAGGAACTTTGGTAAGGTCTTAATATGGAAAGTTACCTTTTTGTAATGAAATGAATGTATTAGTGAACGCATCAATTTCGAATATTATACAATCATCAATAAGATTCCATCTTATTGATACCTACAGTAGCTACCTAGTGCCAGATAGTTAATACGACAACAAGTCTTAGTTAAAAACCGTTCTTTCATACAATCGAAAAAAAAAGATGAAATGTTTTCTTGTGATCCTGTGAAATAATCCTACTTTCTTATATCAATCAGTAGATATGACTGCTATTTTCCACAAATTATTAAATCAAAATACTTAACGAATCCGAATACTAACATTAAAGTTCAACAGTTAAATAGCTTGATTTAATATATAACATTTCTATAACCACGTTATTTTCGTTCTTAGAAACTTAAAAAGATTTATTATTTATACATACCATATATAAACTGAAAAGATATAAATAATTGATATTGTATCTGTTTGTATATAGAGCACTAGATTGTCACTCTTGATTGATTTTGAATATGTGACTTATTTATTTCTAATTGTCATATTTGGGTCGGAATGTTTTCTTCTTCTTTGTTTTTCTTTTTAAATTGATAAGAAGAAAATAACTTAAAAAATTCGATAAATATACATACATTTATATCAAAATTAATATTAATAAAAGCTGCTTATAAAGTAAAATTGAATAAGATAATATACTAGTATAGATAATATTTATTGAATTAACTTTGACATGTTTATCAATATAAATAATTTTTCGTTATATTCGCTTACTTTATTTGGTAAATTACTAATGATTCACGGACTAATCGTATAGTGTGCGAGGTATGTAGAACCTTATAGTCTAGTTTAGATAAAAATAAAACGAATAGCCATTTGGGTTTCAGCAAACCTGCAGTTTGTGTATATACTGGAGTACTGGTATGCGGGTACGCCGATGATTTAACGGTTTCTAGGATGAACTAGGATGAACAGAAAATAAAATCCAATAATCACTTTCCTGTTAATGTACAGAAGTAAGGACGGAATGATTTCAATGTTTTGAAGATTGGTCTTCAACAGCAGCGCATTTTATCAAGTAGATTGTCATCAAGGAGATGCTACGATAAAGAGGAAATATAATCTATCAATCACAGGAGTACCGATAAAGCGACTTCAATGTTTTAAAGATAGTTTATACACGGCTGAAAATTTTCTAGTTAGCTTCAATCAAGACGTCGCTGCAATAAATGTGTTGAATTTTCTTAAGTAATATATGAAAGGACTTAATGATAGTGCCTTAATAGTTTTTAGTAAAATAGGACAACTTTTGACAAAACCCACACTGTTTTGCAATGTAAATAAAAAACTTTTAAAAGTCTATTACATTGTGCTGTACTCTTGTCCAAAAAAAATATAATGTAATTGATGGACTCAATTTTTTTGATCATCATGGCAGTTTCTTACAATCCAATTGTAGAAATACGAAACCCTTGAAGTATTATCGTAATGACAGCATCAAGGTAATTCTCCACCATGAACTAACGATCTCTAAAATATTAAAGTCGTGCGGTAGAAAGTGGCAAGATGTAGACTTGACTTGATCTTAGTGCCAAATCAAATAGGTAAAATTAAGCCCACAGCAATTACGAAATTTATAAAAAGTCTAAAATTGTTTTAGTTGAGCTCTTAGGCGTACAATAGGTCTTTTAGGTCTATTTTAGGTCTATAGCCTATTATTTAATAATAATAATAATATTCCATACACAAACTAAGCATAAGCAAATTGTTTTTTGCTTTGAAAAATCTTTATGAATAAAATTATTTATTATTTCGTTTAAAAAGGGGTTGATGTACAAGATAGTATTGTATATAATATATGTTATTTTCACAGTGCAATCATTTAACAATTTAAAGCAATTAAACAATTTGTATTTTATTAAATAAACAGTTTTGTAAGATTGTAAACAATTGAACTTATTTGTATGGTGTGTTTGACATATCGGTTTTATTCATTAATTGTGATTGAATTAATTAATAATTCAATTTTTTTTAAATAAATTAAAATTTATATAATATAGTTAAGACCAAAAATATTAACTAGAGTAAATATTGTGAACAAATACTATTACTGAAAATCTAATCATTTTATTTTTCTACTTACTAAAAATATTTCTGAGAATATTTATAATTTATCAATTCTGCGTTAAAGCTAATAGATACTTAAAGAAATAATTATTTCAATCTATTAAAGTTTAAAATCTGTTTACTTATAAGTTTTATGTTTTTAAAACTTAGTAACAACAAAAAAGGTAAAGAACAATTTTTATCTTTTTATCTACTTGCATTAACATATTTTTTTTAAACGGCCAAACAAAATAAATATTGTTTAAGAGATATCGTAAAACTATGATACTAAAGTCCAGTAACAAAGTTTACTTAGTGCCATGCACTATAAAACCACGATTATGGTATAGATTATACCATAAATTTATATATATATATGTATATATGTATATGTCTATATATTTACATATATCAAAATACCTTCATATATCTATATATGTTTATATATATATCTATATCTAGTATATATATTTTATTAAATTAAATGTGCGATAACAAATATTTGGTGGAATACGTTCCACACTCTTTTTTATTAATGTTATTAAGCAGTATCTTATAATTATAAGACAGTAAATATATCAAAGAACTAGCTATTCTCAATTATATTTGATAATTTTTAAATAATTTATATTTAAAAAAATAAAAGAATTTTTTTATATTATAGAGGATTGCTTATTAGTTATCTAGTTGCTTTATGTTTGTTTTATTTATTGTTTTAATACCTTAAATAACACAACTAATTTAAAAAAAAAATAATATAGAGCAGAGACTGCATAGAGAGACCTTATATCCATAATAATGTACATTGTGACCGAAAAGCTTTCGGAAATTCTCATTTAAAATTCGCGCGCTGTATATTTTTCGATATTTTAAGTTTATGTAGTTTGGCAGCACTGTCCTTAATTACTATGCCAAAAATGAGCGCGATCTGTCAGACAGTTCGTTTACGGCAGCTGTTGAAACCAGTTCACCTCAGTAGTGCGTTGCGAAAAAAACAATGGAAAAAAATATTGAACAAAGAGTTTGCATCAAATTTTGTGTTTCGAACGAAATTTCGTGTGCA